AGTGACGTCAAAAAGTTTGTTTCGATCGACGCTTTCATAGGAAATTTAATATGGATTATTGAATTTCTTGTATGTTACCGAAATTTATGAATGGTTAGTGGCAGATGTTGAGATAATTAATTGAGATTAATTGATTACTTAATTATCACACTGTATACCATGAAAAGAAGCCTGTTTGTGAGTTTTTGCCTGTTTTCTAGTAAGGAGATATCATAAAAACAAAAACAAATCACCAGCTGGTATTTCCCGGCGGCTTTACAAAATAATACAATCAAACAAAATCATCATGCAGAGCCAGCTAGGATTTGTTTTACTTTCACAAATCCAGCTAAACATTGCATTTGGTCCTAAGTAACATTGATCGATTCTCTTCGTCGACTTTCTCTTTCTCTTTAATAACTTGAGCATAGAACCGTTTCTTGATGTGTTTGTCGTATAAGATGCTAGATAAAAGCTTCTTTTATCGATCTGTGTGCTGAAAATACCTGGGTATATCTTTACATGGCCGTGGGGATGCAAAGAGAAAGTGAACGAAGAGAATCTGTCAATGTTACTTAGGACCTACTTGAAATTACATACGTCAGGGCTAGATAGATCTCCACAGGATTTACAAAAAAAAAGCCAAAATCGACCGCTTTCGAAAATTCAGGCATAACATTTGATAACGGGACAAAAGCATTTGTAAACAAACTTTCTAAGGCCCTTTACACGCGAACCAAAGTACGCCCACGCAAACCAATACCACTTTCGGAAAGGTGATAGTTGCCCCTATCCGATGATGTTGTTGGTTTGCGCGGGCATACTTTGGTTTGCGTGTAAAAGGCCTTAGAAAGTTTGTTTACAAATGCTTTTGCGCCGTTATCAAATTAATGTAAGGCCTGAATTGGTCAGGTTTCTACCAATAGCAGATGGATTTTAATTCTAAACAAACCAAACGATTGGAAATTTATCTACCAATCTGCTAAAATGAACACTATTAATTTTCAATAGGTTACTATTGAAAAATACACAAATGCCCGACTGTTGCAATGGTGATCAAAATTATCAGCAGTAGCAGCAGCAGCAGCAATGCTTTCGGCGCGTTTTCTCCCGTACGCTACGAAAGGTTGCCTGCAAACAGCAAGCTGCAGAGCCCACATAAGCAACTATAGGAAGAAGAAGCACCACCGCTTGGAATCAGAATCAGAATCAGTAGCTCTTCGTGAGTCGCTCCGTGCGGGGGTCGGTCATCTATGCCAAGCGAGTCACCCTCGCTTCAAACAACATACAGCTCGACAGCCTCATCAGTGTTAAACACCCAGCTGAGCATTACTCAACCATCACGACAAAACGGCCCTTCTCAGGACCACCTTAAATTTTTTAAAGAGTTTTATTTGAACATTTGTCGAGGTATCCCATCTTTGATTCCTACAATCAATTTTCGCATATTTTTCTTTTATGGAAAAAGCCAAAAATTCCGTGCGTTTTGTGCACGGAAATGCGTAATTACGTCATCATAAAACGAAGCTTTTCCATGATACCGTGGTAGCATGCTAGACGGTACCTATCTTTATGCCTTTTGATGCAAATTTGAACCCCTCCTATTAAGAGAATTATACCAAAATCTAATCGTGCCGAATTCTCTTAGTAGGAGGGGCTAAAAATTTGCATCTAAAAGCATAAAGGTAAGTACCGTCCGGTATGCAGATTTCATTTTCGAATGCCAAAATTGATGGGCAGTTCAATCTATTCAAATTTCTACAATTGTACGAAATCAATTTAATATTTACTATACTTTTGCTATACTACCTTTCGTAATCCTACGTCAAATCTATGGTCGTGTCTTGGATACAACCTCTTACTTTTTTTTTTTAGCCAAAATGAATGGAAGGCACCCTGATGCAAACCATCCGTTTTGGTGGAACTGTTTCATTTTATATAATTTTGGGAGTTTATCATTTTATGTCCATTTATTGCTTACCTTCATTATGAAGGTAAGCATGTTTGTGCTTTCGATCCGCGTTTGTTTTTTCATCGATAGAATAGAGTGCTGGTTTCCGTTAGTTATAGTAAGATTTTGGAAAAAAGTTCGAAAAATTATGCTAAACTTCAGATATCCTCATCAGGGTCCACGTAATACCACGGAATGTACAGACTCAAATGAGTTGCCCTCCTCGCATAAGCGCTGGATCCCCAATCAAGTGGTATGTAGTTACGAAAAAAGAAATCTCAATTAAACCTCCAACATCCAACCGTCCTATGCAGCTACATCAAGGAGAAGCGACCGAAGGAGGTGACATTTCATAGCAGTTTTCAGAGCTCGGAAAAGTTGACCAATTTTGGTGCGATCATTCCATTTTTATCTATAAATTAGGAATTTGGCTAACATTGGAGGCAGTAGGTGAGATCTTTCGATTACACTATATTATATAAATCATTCATTACATCACATATTATTGTTACATTCACTCTTACATAAATCGGAGCGTTTGGTACAGTATGTCCACGCATCCTTCCACCCCTGTAGGTTCATGAAATGAATTGCTGTTTAAATAGATTTATTTATACTCGAATCATTTCACAGAATATGCTTTGCGGCAAATGCAACGCAGTAGGCCTGGCCGTTTTGATGTTTGTGTCATATCAAAGATATGGTGCAAACATCAATGTTGACAAGTAAATTATTAGGCGTTATCTAACCTAATCATTTTCCATGATGCTTTCTCGTACTGGCTGCGTTTGTATTAGCTTAGATCAGATAGGTAATTGTGAGATCAAAGCTGACTTAATGTTTTGCTTTTATTTTCGGAAACCACTATTATCCAATAGATTCTACTGTTCGCCAAGTTCTGACAATATCCGAGGCAATATCATGGGGCATTTCAAGATTTGTAGAAGCACCCTTTTCCACCCTATTGCTGAAACTAACTTTTGCCCCACCATCGGTGGTTGTGTTTTGTCTATTTCAATGAAGCCAAAACGCGCCGAAACCGTCGCCATAGGAATTCCATCTATTGCTAAAAGGTCTGAACGAATTGGATAGCAAAGATGCCAACCCAAAAGGTTGCTCATTTTTGTATCCGGTGAAGATGTGTAGTGATGTATAAAGAGAGCAGACAAAACAAACATTTTGTTTATGGTACCGGTACCTATGAGCATATGCATATACCACGTTCACAGTTTATAGGGAGGGGGGGGGGGGGGGGTTCGGTGGTTTGGAACGGGTGTCTAGAATATCTCAAGATCTGTGAACGTGGTTTATGGAGAGCACCTAACGATAATACTTATGGATTTGAGATGGTGAGGTTATGTGTGTAGCCAACAAACTACATTGAACATAGAAATTTTCTTCGGTTGATGCCAGTGGAAGGATCAGGGAACATGTATGTAAAATTTACTTTCGTGACTAATTGTGTACTGTTATGTGATATGCGTTTTAGATTAGTAAGAGATGTTACATGATCTGATTGTTTATATGGGGTATTATTTTAGTAATAGCAGTTATAATATCCAGGTAAGTGGTGGTCTTGATAACTGTAGTAGTAGTGGTAGGTATATGGTACATTAACCAACAGTGAACAGCAAACGCAACTAAACAAAAAGCAATTTCCTATTTTTGTTTGTTGTATAACTCAGATACTGAAACCAACAATTACAACTAAGAGAGTGCAAATCCGCATGATAAGGAAAAATATAAAAACAGAGCAACGATCCAATATTGCAACCCAAAAGTAACAATTGTATTGCCCCGAGTCAAAATGAAATCGCAAATGAGTTAAACATCTACTAGGTATTACTTGATAATGATGTCAGCAGGGATCGATCGCTCTTAGGAGCATTGTTTATTACTTTTTAATATGGAAAGCTAACGTTAGTTCCAATCAAATGTTAAGTTAATTCTCTTATATCAGATTAATGCTTCCGATCATACTTCGCACCGTTTAGTCACACTCCGTGTTTTCACAGAGTGTGGCTTTACGATGCGAAAGTTTTGAAGTTTAATCGGGAAATATTTATGAGTAATCTATCCGTTTTAAGATGGATCAGCTGCAAATCCAATTGGATTTACCGTTAGATGCCTATGTTGAAACGTAACGAACGATGCCCCAAAGAGCGATCCATCCCTGGATGTCAGTATGGTGGTAAATGAAGTTGCAACAAGAGATAACAGAACAGAATACCGAAATGCATCAACGTGTAGTTTTAACACAGCTACAACAAACTAGGAAAGTAACGTTTACACCATGTGGAAATTAACGCTCAGAAAACAGTTAATGGTGCTATGATACGGAGCAATGTTGAGACTAACGAAACGTAACATAATGAGCAGTGAAACATTTTAGGTATGTACAGGAGATAATGCATAGCAGGCAAATGTTGAATTATTTTGAACGACTACTGATAGAATGCGGTACATTCTGGCATTATGCGCCGTGGTTGATTAATTACATATTTTTTTCTTCGTAATTGCAATTTAAGGTAGCAAAATGGCTCTCCTGAGTGGTGATGAAAAAAGGAAAAGAATACAATAATTTACAGAAAAGAAAGTGCAATGTATAAACAAAAGAGAAGAACCAAAAAACACGCCCTCCATGGGAAACCGAAAAAGAAACGCAAATATTTGTTTTTCTATGAAAAGCAATAAGGCAGTTGAAATTGGTTCGCTGTCGCTGTTGTTGATGTTGTTTCGCCGTTCGAACGGTGGCGAACGAGGTTTTCTATATTACTATAGATTCTGTAGTTGTTGGAAGATGTTTCTGCTATGTTCGCGCTTCTCTTGACTGACTTCTGTCGTTTATCTTATCTCAAAAATCTCGAAAAATGATTGAACTCTTGAAAAAAGATTGATCTTGATAAGGTAGAAAAAAACTGTGAGCAAAAATTTGATCATTTAGGGGAAAATTGTAAGAGAAAATTGGAATTGAAACTAACGAAAAACAAAAGGAATTGTTGTTTGTAATCGAAAAAAGTGGGGAATCAAAGAGAGGAAGAAAAAATAATACTCAAGAAAGCTTTACTACCTCTTGCAACTGACTAGTAGTGTTCGTACATACTCTTCGCAACGGCTTGCTCCGCTTGGGATTTTGATTGTCCTCGTTCGAGGGTGCCGTTATCGGTGGCGAGCTGGCACGCATGATCTTGGAGATTTCGAGGGTGTCCTCCTTGTTCTGGGGGAGACCGGCTTCTGCGCGGTATTTGTCTGCAATTTAAAGTACGTCAAACACTACCGTGCGTCGTTTCATATTTGAAAGATCAATTACCTTTCAATTCTTTTAATGTTTCCATTCCACCCAGTGAAACAAGGGACACCTTCCAGAGAAGCAATAGAACTTTCTTCATTGGAAAGTGCGGTGCCAAACCGCTGCAAAACTTTGTGATCATGCCGAGCAGTTTCACCGAGAGTAGCTCATCTCCAATGGGATGCGCTGGAAAAGGCAAACCGTTGATAAAGCTAGAGAAACGAAGTTTATAATGATCGTCGTTTCAATACTTACTGATCTCATTGGTAAAGTTGGCCACTAGGTGAGCGTATTCCTCATTACCGGTTTCTATATCTGCTCGCATGACTTCGGTAATAATATACAACACCGACAGAATTACTCTCAAATCTACCGAATCCGCCAACGAGACAGCAACCTTCCGGATGGCAATGCTAGCGGTCGACGAATTGCTTTAGATAGATTAAAGTACACTGTGAACATTCGGAACAATCAATATGGCTGGTATTTCTTACTCAATTTCCAAATTCAGCAGTTCGACAAATGCTCCGAAAACACCCGCATCGTACAGCAGCATGACGTTCTTTCGTGCTATAACCTGCTGCTCTTGATCGCACTGCACTTCCGCCCAGCATCCCTGCGCAAGGTACAGAATACAACGAGCGGCCTTCATCCTTAGACTCTTCTTGGACATGTCCAACTGGTTCAGCAGCTTGAGAATTATGCCCTGCTGTTCCGTTTCCGACAGCTTCTGCCAACTTGGCGGCAGTTTGTAGTATTCCATCTGATCTTCAAATGCCTACAATGCATCACGAATTGTAGAATCCGAGCGAAAGCTCAACCAAATAAAAAAAACCGTTTACCTTCACATTGTGCTGGAATTCGGCCTGCTCGGTGTAGCTGTACAGCTCCGCAATCTCGTTCGCATGTGAGTCGGCATCCGCGTAAATGAAATCTAAATCGGGGAATTCTAAACCACTGCTTCCCTGCAAAATACCGGTGCATTCGTTCAGTCAGTAACTCTTTTCTAGCTTACAGGATAACGGAAAACACGTATAACAAGCGGTCAAACAGAGAATGTCGTGTTTGGAATTGAATTGAAAATGGGAAATGGAAATCAACTCAAGAAACTAGCGTTTCAAACTAAACTATTAACAGTAACATGTATAGGTAGAAGGGTGAATGAACAAAATGCTTTTTGTAATTTAATTCTGGTTGGCAGATTTGGTAGTAGTGGACAGATGGTGGATGGTTAACAAAATAAACTATTGTTGAACGATTGTGGAAGATGTTAGTAGTAGTAGTAGAAGAAGAGGTACTCATCGCTTTCGTTTAGTGTCTCGATAATTGTGTTTTGGTCATTATTATTCGTTTACTATTGCGTAACGTATGTAGTAGTTTGATTGCTTATATATTGTTTGATATTGCAACTCAAAATGAGGAAGATTGCGGAAGTGCGGCAGCGGCGGCGGCGGAAGGGATGCTGCTGCGCCGTATTCGCGCGGATTGTTTGGCTTAGTTTTGGATGGTTGAATCAGGTCACTTACATCAAACTATATAGTAAAACGGTAGCACAGTATTATTATCGTAAACTTAAGACAAAGATAGCTGAAAACACGACTCAAAATTTAAACCACTCCTCTTGCACAGCACTAGCATCCCTTATATTTTTTCCAAGCTCTCGAAAAAAAAAGCGTAAACATAAACAATCACCTCCCATCACCACCCACCCCGCCACAAACATTCAACAGCTGTCAAAATCGATTTTCCTCGCCCGCTTTCTCCCTTCCAACCCACCCGGGATGGGATGGGAGAAAGAGGCGCTCAGCCTCGACAATCGATTTTCCACACCTGGCTTGGAGTAGTCGCAAATTTTCAGCCGTATTTCAATGCAAGAATTCGATACTTACATCCAGCATGTCGTTTTCGAAGAAGTTGTTGATCGTCAGCATATCACCCGAACCTTCCATGGTGGATGTTTTTGTCCCGGTCCGGGACGCTTTTCACGGGTTAAAAACGATTTTTCAGTCCAGTAATGTTTTCCACTCTCGAGCAACGTCGTCCATCGAAAAATTTCGTTTTCTTTTTTGTTGTTACTCTTTTGACAGCAGGGCGCCCTTCAGAAATGATCGTGGCGAGGTACTAGAGCAATACACGGAAAATCAATTATATACACACATCATCACGGTTTCCTTGTTCGGTATTTTGGAATTGTAAATCACAAAAAATACCGAACATTCAGCTATTCTCAATAAAACCAACCGGTGGAAACTAACGATTTTAAATTGGCTCACTACTTGACTACACGGAGAATTGAAACAACTCAAAATCGAGATAGAAAGTACTTAACAATAAGTACTCGACTATCACCAACAATCAATACAAAACTAACGATTTTAAATTGGCTCACCACTTTAATAGCCTATTGGTCCCAAGCAAACGATTAACATACCCTATTCTAGTTGAAATTCTATTACTACACTATGTTTGTTTTGATTCGCTATGAAAGTTTGACAGATAACAACAGGGGTGTGTGGATTCATGCAGAACATGCAGGGGTGAGTGAAATAGCTTGGGACTGCTTGGGACCGTTGTTCTGGTACTGAGTGAGCCAGAAATAATAATGATTTTCTTCGGGACCCAGTGGTCTTAGAGTTACCTCTATGCTATCACTATTGTTTTGGTTTAAATTTTATTTTCATTGAAAAGTAATTGTAGAGTCATGGACCTCTTGTTCGGAAAACAGAGATGGAGTATGAGGAAAAGAGGAGGGAGAGGGATCGAGAGTAAGGGCAGTTAGGAAAGATCGGTTATGACGAAAGGAAGTGAATAAAAGGTGTTCAATCAAACTTAAGTGTATTTCATAACTTAATTCCGTAAAACCTATCAAATATCTGGTGGCAAGATCCTACAGTTTGGCGCAGTCAGTAGGATTTCAAAAAGGTATATTTAATGGAAAGGATTTTTTTTTTTTCTAGTCCTGTTGAAAATGGCGTCTGAGATTTTTTTTTTTTTTCTTCTCGTGACGAACAAGTGAATTTGTTGAAGTGAGAAAGTATTAGAGCGAGACCATAGAACCCGAAGTGGTATTCGTGCTATGAGCCATGTATGTGATAAGGAGAAAATATTGGGTACAAGTGAAATCCTTAAATGCGAGGCCGATTATATTCGTAGCGCATGAGGAGGTGCTTGTTCAGATGGTTATAGGTTATAGTTGACTACTAAAATCAACAAGCGAGTCCGGGATTCACCCGAAGCGCTTTCCGCTAGTCCAGTCACAAAACAGAATGTTCAGCTGTAGAGTGAAAGAGATGCGAGACCGATGAAAGTCGAAGCGCACTTGCTAGTCCAGCCAGTGTGCTGCAGAGCTGATTGACTCAAAATCGAATGGGTTGATAAACGTGAAAGAACGATGAGCAAATTTCGGGCACAACTAAAACAGTCAACAGCGAGAACGGAAAACACCCAAAGCTCTTCTCGCTAGTCCAGTCACACAGTTAAATGTACGGCTGTAGAGCGAAAGAGATGCGAGACCGATGAAAGTCGAAGCGCACTTGCTAGTCCAGCCAGTGTGCTGCAGAGCTGATTGACTCAAAATCGAATGGGTTGATAAACGTGAAAGAACGATAAGCAAATTTCGGGCACAACTAAAACAGTCAACAGCGAGAACGGAAAACACCCGAAGCTCTTCTCGCTAGTCCAGTCACACAGTTAAATGTACGGCTGTAGAGCGAAAGAGATGCGAGACCGATGAAAGTCGAAGCGCACTTGCTAGTCCAGCCAGTGTGCTGCAGAGCTGATTGACGCAAAAGCGAATGGGTTATAAAATGTGAAAGAACGATGAGCGAATTTCGGGCACAACTGAAACTGTCAAAAAACAAGTCTAGAAAAGTGCATATTGAGCTCTGTAAGCAGAATCTCATGAACACTAATACAGCGTGTAAACTCATGGGATTTCTACAGTTCTCGCAGCAATACATATGCAGCTGGAGAAACTATAAACATAAATACAAGGTGTTATCAACAATCAATACGAAACTAACGATTTTAAATTGGCTCATCACTTTAGTAGCCTATTGGTCCCAAGCAAACGATTAACGTACCCTATTCTAGTTTAAATTCTATTACTACACTATGTTTGTTTTGATTCGCTATGAAAGTTTGACAGATAACATCAGGGGTGTGTGGATTCATGCAGAACATGCAGGGGTGAGTGAAATAGCTTGGGACTGCTTGGGACCGTTGTTCTGGTACTGAGTGAGCCAAAAATAATAATGATTTTCTTCGGGACCCAGTGGTCTTAGAGTTACCTCTATGGTGTTATTGTGTTGCAAGTCCAGTCGGTACGCTGCGGTGCATACGTAAATTGAACCAAAAAAAGAAAGGGTTTTCCTCTAACATATTTGTTTACGTATGGGTGAGCTAGTGCGTTTGTGGAAGGTTAGACGTCATAAATATTACATGTAAAATTCGTTTTTTTTTTTTTGTCAATCTAACCAAATTATTTGAAGCTGTGAGAGTTTATTATTATTTGTGAGGAATAATTTGGTTATTAAAGCTTATCATTTTTTCAGGATGAACGACGGTGTTAAAGATCGCTTTGGATTGGATCCATTTAATGACTCGGTTGATACTCAAGGGCTACGAAGAGAATGGGAGGAGTGGTTCAGGTCATTCGAGCTCGTTGCGGAATTGAGGAGCGTTCAATCGCAACACGAAAAACTGGTTATGATGTTGGCTTGGGGTGGTAGAGGACTCCAACGCATCTTTTACAACCTGGGACCGGTTGCAGAAGAAATCTACCCAGAGCCTGCAAGAGTTCCCTTCTCGCCACAGGAAGTACCAGAATTCGACAATGGGGTGAAAAGGCTGAATAAGTTTTTCATCGGAAAGCGAAATGATCGCGTTGAGTTGGAGATTTTCCGTTCTCTGCGTCAGTCAACTGACGAATCTTTTAATCAGTTCATACTCAAACTACGTATGCAGGCCGCCCGTTGTGATTTCATGGATCGGGAGGAAAAGGAGATATTGCAACAAGTTACCATGGGGGCAAAAGATGAACGAGTTAGAGACAAAGGCCTGGAGAACGTTATGAATTTGGACGAACTGATGAACTACGCAATCAATCGTGAAGTTTTAATTGAGCAAAAGGAAAAGTCGAAGGCGCTCAAAGACGATCCGGTGACTGGATCAGTGTCCGCTGTCAACGCTGTCAAGCAGCAGTGGGGTGATACGCCAGCGAGGCAGATTAAAAGATCAGCACCCCGGTTTAAGCCATACCAAGGCAGACCTGATCGAGGACCGGGTAATGCAAGCAAACGAAGGAATATGGAATGCAACCGATGTGGATCCACCAATCACCTCAATGATTCCCAAAGCTGCTATGCCAGGAATGCCCGATGCAACTCATGTGGACGTGTGGGCCACTTCGCCCGCAAGTGCCGAGAGGGGTGGAAACAGAATTCAAGGAGCCGAAATTATCAAAAGCGTACACCTGAAGAAGCTAACGCACTGTACGGAGAAAAAGAGTGGGAAGAAGAACTACCACGCCGTCCTGGGACCAAAGATATCGCCAAGGTAGAATAGTTTTTTTTTTCTTGCTTTGTTTGTTTTGATACGAATTTAAGACTAACATCTCAGGATTCAAGTTGAGGGCTCGTAGGATCTGGAGTTGGGTTAATTTAATTACTTGATTTTTCTTCAATAAAAAAAGTAAATTAAAACAATTATTGATCGCATCGATATTTAATAGGTCGCACATCAACAACCAAACAATGGTGTGATCACATGTTTGATCGACAATTTTCCTGTTGATTTCCTTATTGATTCTGGATCAGCAATCAACACAATTACTGAGGACATCTGGAAGTCAATACGCAGTGCTGGGATACGCATCTTCAAAAAAAGGCAGCAACATGATCAAAGCCTCACAGCTTACGCAAGCTACAAACCGCTACGTGTACTGTCGGTTTTTGAGGCTCATGTTTCGGTCAACCCTTCAAAACCGGCAACGTACGCTGAGTTCTTCGTAATTCATGGTGCCAGCAAATCTTTGCTGAGCAAAAGAACAGCGGAAGAGTTGAAGGTCTTGAAAGTTGGCCTCGACGTTATGCACGTAGATGTTGTACACGATGCATTCCCTAAGTTCCCTAACATTCAGGTAAAACTATCGATCAATCGGAATATACCGCCAAAGAAGATTTCTTACCTCAGAATCCCGGTTCCAATGGAAAAATTGGTAGATGACAAGATCCAGGAAATGCTGCGTAGAGATATAATCGAGCCGGCAGTAGGACCGCCAGAATGGATTTCACCCATGGTCGTAGTTCCTAAAGGGCAAGATGACATCCGATTGTGTATCGATATGCGACGTCCTAATGAAGCAATCCAACGAGAGCATTACCCGCTGCCTGTGATAGATACATTTTTGAACAAACTTAGAGGATGTACGGTATTCACTCGGTTGGATATTACTTCGGCATTTCATCATGTTGAACTTCATCCTGACTCCCGTAGCGTCACTACGTTTATGACTGGCAGGGGATTAATGAGGTTCAAGCGGTTGATGTTTGGCATTAACTGTGCTCCTGAAATTTTTCAGCGAATTATGATGGAGATGCTGGCCGGTATTGAAGGAGTTATTGTATATATAGACGATATTGTAGTAGCTGGTAAGACTAAATTAGAACACGATGCTCGTTTGATTGAGGTTATGACGGTACTCGAAGCCAACAACGTCCTGTTGAATGAAGATAAGTGCCTATTCGGAGAAAAAGAACTTACAATTTTGGGTTTCAAGGTCAGTGCGTCGGGAATAAGCCCGTCTGAGGAGAAAGTATCGGCAATCAAGAATTTTCGTAAGCCTGAAACCAAAGAAGAAGTCAGAAGTTTTCTGGGTCTTATAAACTTTGTTGGTCACTTCATCCCAAACCTATCCAGTAGAACGGAAGCTTTGCGTCAGTATATAAGAGGAGATGTTGAGTCCTTTTCAGAGGAACAGGAGAGAGCGTTTGACGATTTAAGAAGTGAACTAACCAGGAATGTTCGTAGGCTGGGTTT